TGATGCAAGCCAAGACTGTTTCCTCAGCAATTTTACCCTTATCAGATTATCTCGTCTGATTCTATTAATTTTCTCCCATGAATCTGCTAACAGCAGTCTGTGATTTACTTACCCTGCTAAGTGAAGACGGCTAAAAGGATTTATCTAACACTAGACCTAGGAACCGAGTAAGCCTTATCACTCCAGTCCTCTCCAGAACTCTTGCAGATCAATGGAGTCGGTTTCCTACCGAGATTTAGTGGACACTGGTTAGTTCAGCACCGTAAAACCGGCTCGCACAGAAACAAAGCCCTCGGAAGCTTCGAGCTACATACACCCTGTTTACTTTAGATTCTGGATGTCTGATTGAAACAAGACATGTTGTGATGAGGAAAAGTATGGTCCTTTTAGCCTACAATATTTGCAATTTAGACTTGACAGGCCGTCTACATCTCCATCCCTGTTCTCGTGAAGCTGTCTGTAGATTGATTGACTCAGCATCATGGCTGCTCTCTCTGATGTTTCCAGGTCTCCTCGAATGACCAGTCCGATGCCCTTCTTCCCACCCAGATTGTTATACAAATACTCATGGCTTTCAGAAACTTTAATGCTACCAGTTTGAATTGGTCTATCACGACAAACGTGTACTTTCTAATTCCCTGTATATAGCTGGTGGAGATCACTAAAGTATATACGGGAGTGAGGGGGTTCATATTGTATTTGGATTAGATTGGCTTGGCTAGAAGAAAAACAAACAGTGCTAGCAAAAGAAGTCGCCAGCACTATGGCCTGCTATAATTGTGGGGAATCAGGAACCTGAATGGGACTAAATTAAAATGAGAGCTTGCAATTGTTATCAAAGAAACGCTGCTAACAGCACGCTGTAAATGTTTAGACGCCTCCTGCGCATCACCGAACAATGCAGAGGGGCAAAAATGGCACCTAAGTGCTAACGCCCTCCAGTTACATGTCTTTAAACAACATGTTTGGCCTCCCCCCTCTCTTTCTCTCTCTCTCTCTCTCTCTCTCTCTCTCTCATTTTCAAATGAAAATGGGAACTTGTAAAAGGCTCTGAAAAAGAAGAGGAAGAAAAATGCTATGGCTAACAATAGCAAGAATGAAAAATAAACCGTAAAAAAGTGTAGATAATAATACAGTTAGCTGGCCAGATGTGGTCCCTGAATGTCTAGAAATGGTATATAATTGTGACAATTGGGTGTGTGGCTGTGAAGCTATAGGGCATGGTGTCCAACATCAGCAATTTTTGTTCATAAAATGATGTTTATTTATAAATATAGCAGTCTCCATGCCACTGGCCCAAAACATGCCTTTTTTGAGAGAGAGAGAGAGAGAGAGAGAAAGAGAGAGAGAGAGAGAAAGTGAGGGGAGGCAGGGATTATACTTTACAGCTTTTAACAAGAATTTTAACAAAATTTTTAACAAAAATTTTGATGCCCAAAATCCTAAGAGTTATCATAAAAATGAATTCTTTCTAAGGACACATATTTGTATTTTACTTAGAAACATAAACATCAGGCATATTTGGCTAACGATTTTTAGAACGACCTGAACACCCACGGCTAACCAGCACAGCGTTGCTGTGATTTTAAACACTGCCTTTTCTTTCGAGAGTATACTGCCATCCTTAGCTTCATTACTGGGTGGAATAGTGTTTGGGAGGAGGGAAGCCAAGCCAGACGTCTTTTCTGGTCACATAAATATTGACATAGTCTTCACTCTTTCTCCCCCAAAGTGGAACTAAACACAGTTCACACCACCCCAACAAAGCACTCCTCTAAAGCGAAACCACCCTTATAAACAATCACTGCAGAAACAGTATTAAAGAACGGCGTGTCTAGAAAATACCAACAGAGCAGGCCCTTTAGAATTAAGATGTCTCTACGTATTTACCAGGGTGTCTACCAGTAGGGGTGCCAGAGTTTGCCAGTGAGAAATTAACAATGGTCTAATCTGGTGTCCCAAGCCTGTGAGTGACCCCCAACGCCATTTTATAAACAGGAAAAAAAATGCTATGGGGTGGGGGGGTTTGAGACCACACTTAGGTACAATGTTCACAAAGATGGCTTAATACATGACTTAAGTGTCAGAAGTCAGGCTTTCCTGAGGGTTACTTTTCAAATAAACGATTTTATACCACTGCAATAGCTTTGCTTATGAGAGATGCATTTCATACCATTGAATTACAAGGAACTTTAATTCTATTGTTATTGCCACAAAACCGGTTAAAACTCCTTCCTTGTGATTTGAAAGAGCCTGGGCCCTGTTACATGGCATTAACGTGCGCAGGACTCTACGTTCAAAAGACATCCTCCAAGGACTGAGTCTATGGACCTCTTCCGAAGCAACGAAGTGGGCCATTAGAGGAAAAAAAAAGATTTCAGCACCTACTAGCAATTTCTGTAGGCCCTTTCCTGCAACATTGGGTTCTCCCACTGTGGTCTTGCTAGCTTTTGCCCCTCTTGCCTGAAAAATCAGCGTCTTAGCACTTTTCTCAAAAACAGATTAATTTTCAACTAACCTTTGCCGAAAGGTGGCGCTGTTGAGGTGAAAACCAACTCGATCCAACAACAGTTTTTACTCTGGATTCTTTTGCAGGCTTTTCGGATTTTTTTTTTTTTTTTAGTACACCCCTATAGACATCCCGCATAGAGTTAAAATAAATACGATTAACACCAAATGCATTTCCTTCTACGAAGAAATCTATAGTCCCAATTTCCAAGCAGGTGAACCTGTCTTCAAAATATTGGGCGGCTTCAGACAACCTTTCTTTCCCCTGTCAATCTCCCTCTTTCGACTTGCCTATCGCTTTAAAATCTTAGAAAAGAGTTGTTAGTTTCTTTTCTTTTTTGTTTCTTTCCCTGCCTCCCCCCAAATTTTTGCATAACTTTGGAAGAAATTAGTCTAGAAAACTAAACCGGTTATTGATATTTGTAACGGGAGGGGGCAACCCTACCCCACCCCCACTCTGGGTTTCCGGACTTGTTCAGAGAAGAAAGCAGTTTAAAATTTAACCCTTGGAGGAGAGTGAGGGAAGGCTCTGAGGTATTGTTCCCCCACTTGACCACCAAATCCCAAAATACCAAATAATTAAACCAGAAGAGAGGGCTAAGGGCACCCAGGACCCTGATAAACAGGGTTCAGATTTCATAATGATGAAGATGGCATTGGTGGGGGGAGGCGGGTTCTCAAGCACGGTTGAAGTTTCACAAATGGAAAGGATGGTGGATGGATAGCAAAGCAGGCAGAGAAAAGACTTGGAGGGGGGGAGAAGGGAGGCGAGAAGATAAAAGGAGGATGAATATGATTCTCAGAAGCTAAACTCCCAGCCTGAGTCAGGAGCCTCAGAGCTGAGCCCCGACTGACCCAGCGTCCGGGAATCAACTTGCTGGCAAAGCCGACCAATCACTTTCTCCAAGGGCCGAAGATGCCAGCGGGCTAGTCATTATACAGAACGTCCCCAAACACTTTAGGCCCCCTCGTTTTTTTCAAGAGAGTCATACAGGCTTTCTTCTACCCGCGAAATCCAAACCAGTGCAGGCGCACCGTGCACCGTGCACCATACACCGCGCGCCGCGCGCATTCTGGGTGCCCGCACCCTTGGCGCCCCCATCTGATCACCTCACTAGGAGAGGGACAAAGAGTTGAGCCAAGTTGGGCCCGGGAGCATCAGATTCTGTAAAGGAACGTAACCCCTCCCCCTCTTCGCCCCCCAACAGCCACGGAGGATGCTGAAGGCTAATCAAAAAGCAAAAACTGCAAGACGAATAAAAGCACCTTGTCAGGGTGCGGGACCGGCAAGGGACAGGAGCGTTCAGGCGGATCTCTGCAGCGCCAGAGTTGCGGCTCAGCAGGGCAGGCCTCTCTCGAGCTCCGAAGAAAAGCAAAGCAAACCGTCCTCCAGGGTCCTCCCGGATTCCAGCCGCCCTTTTAGCAAACTATGTCCCCTGGTGCACTAAACTTCACGCGGGGCTGGGGTGGGGGACGTTACTCCCTGGCTGCTCCAGAGCAGCGGCGCCGCAAGGGTTAAGCCAGCCTGTCCCAGCTGACAGTCAGCTGATTGGGCTGTGATTGACAGCTCCGAAAAGTTTCCTTGTTTCTATACTATTATGCTAATCGCGGCCGCTTTCGCCGCCTCCCATTGGAGGAGAGTGCCAGTCAATTTCCCATTTGAGTCTGACGTCACGGGTGCTATAAAACTCAGCAATTGCTTTAAACTCTTCTCGCTGGATCAGATGCTTTAAAATCTTTTTTCATCTTGGAGCTGTAGCTTGAGCTGCTAGTCCGCTCGGCCTCTCCCCCACACACCCTTTTGCTCTCGGCCTCGCCTTGGCACAGGACTTTGCAATTTTGCTTTTTTTTTTAAAAAAAAAAAAAGCCAAAACCAAAAAAAAAGGGGGGGGAAAAAGGCAAGAAAGAACTAAACTCCCCCCTCCCTTGCCTACAGCCGGCCTGCACCTCGGTCTTGCACTTTGCACGGAGGGAGAGGGTGAGAGAGAGAGAGAGAGAGCGCGCACGCGAGGAATCCGGAGAGAGAAAAGAGAAAATAATAATAGTAATCATAAGAGCCAGGCAGAAGAGGAGAGAAGCGTGAAGTATTAACTCTCCCGGTGCCGAGACTCGCACCTCCGGGACAGCCACCCGCCGCGCCATCCAGTCCGGGAGCAGCCACTGCGCGCGCCCCGCCTGCAGCCCGGCCGGTTTAGGCGAGCCCTCCTTATGCAAAGCGCGCAGCAGAGCGGAGAGCCGGGGACGCCGCGCACCGGGTCGGGCTCCTCCGGCATCCTCACCGCCGCCGTCATCGCCACCACCACAACCGCCAGCTGCGGAGGACCTTCCCGAGCCTGAAGCGCCCGGGATCCGAGCTCAGGGAGGCGAGCAGGCGAGGAGGGGGCCCGGGGCGAGCGGGAGAGAGAGAGAGAGCAAGAGAAAGAGAGAGAGCACATTGGCGTGAGCAGGGGGGAGGGAGGGCGGGCGCGGGGGGCTGCGGGCAGGGCGGGGGGGTGTGTGCACGCTCGAGCTTTCGGGCCACAGCCACCGCCGCGCGAGCTAGAAGCGCCTTAGCCCGGCAAGCTGGCTCACCCGCTGGCCACCCAGCACAGCCCGCTGGCCCCTCTCCTGCAGCCCATCTGGCGGAGCGGCGGCGGCGGCGGCGGAGGCAGGAGGATGGCTTCAGAACTGGCAATGAACAATTCCGACCTGCCCACCAGTCCCCTGGCCATGGAATATGTTAATGACTTCGATCTGATGAAGTTTGAAGTGAAAAAGGAACCGGTGGAGACCGACCGCATCATCAGCCAGTGTGGCCGTCTCATCGCCGGGGGCTCGCTGTCCTCCACCCCCATGAGCACGCCCTGCAGCTCGGTGCCCCCGTCCCCCAGCTTCTCGGCGCCCAGTCCGGGCTCGGGCAGCGAACAGAAGGCGCACCTGGAAGACTACTACTGGATGACCGGCTACCCGCAGCAGCTCAACCCCGAGGCGCTGGGCTTCAGCCCGGAGGACGCGGTCGAGGCGCTCATCAGCAACAGCCACCAGCTCCAGGGTGGCTTCGATGGCTACGCGCGGGGAGCACAGCAGCTGGCCGCGGCGGCGGGGGCCGGCGCCGGCGCCTCCCTGGGCGGCAGCGGCGAGGAGATGGGCCCCGCCGCCGCCGTGGTGTCCGCCGTGATCGCCGCGGCCGCAGCGCAGAGCGGCGCGGCACCCCACTACCATCACCACCACCACCACGCCGCGGGGCACCACCACCACCCGACGGCCGGCGCCCCGGGAGCCGCGGGCGGCGCGTCTGCCTCTGCGGGCGGCGCGGGTGGCGCGGGCGGCGGTGGACCGACCAGCGCCGGCGGCGGCGGCGGCGGCGGGGGCGCGGCGGGGGCGGGGGGCGCCCTGCACCCGCACCACGCCGCGGGCGGCCTGCACTTCGACGACCGCTTCTCGGACGAGCAGTTGGTGACCATGTCGGTGCGCGAGCTGAACCGGCAGCTGCGCGGGGTCAGCAAGGAGGAGGTGATCCGACTGAAGCAGAAGAGGCGGACCCTGAAAAACCGCGGCTATGCCCAGTCCTGCCGCTTCAAGAGGGTGCAGCAGAGACACGTCCTGGAGTCGGAGAAGAATCAGCTGCTGCAGCAGGTCGACCACCTCAAGCAGGAGATCTCCAGGCTGGTGCGCGAAAGGGACGCCTACAAGGAGAAATACGAGAAGTTGGTGAGCAGCGGGTTCCGAGAAAACGGCTCCAGCAGCGACAACCCGTCCTCTCCCGAATTTTTCATGTGAGTGTGACACGCGATCCCAGCTAGCCACCTTGTTAAATGCTCCGTGGGGGTCCGGCTCCTGAGTGGGCTTGCTAGTTGCAGGGCCGTGCTCGCCACCACCTCGCCCACTCCCCTGGCGAGTTTGCTCCCCTTGGCCTTGCACACACAGACACGCACACAGACACACACACACACACACACGCACACACACACACACACACACACACACACCAAACTTGTGGTGGTGATGACTGTTTTGAATTGGGGAGGGAAGGGGGTGTCTGGCTCATGAATTGCCAACCTGAATTCCCCATAACTTGCTAGCTTGGTTGTTTTGTTCTTTTTTTTTTTTTAAACACCGCCCCCTTCCCAACACACACCCCGGACTTGCATAAGGGTCAAAGATCTGAGCAGAGTACTTCATGTAGGACATAGCTCACCTTTGAATCCGGCCATCAATCGCCTGTATTTTTTTTTCTTTCTCCTTTTTCAGTTCATGAGCTGGTGTTCATTCTCTCTGTGTGTGTGTTTATTTTGTTTGGATTTTCTTTTGTTTTTTCTTTGTTTTTGTTTATTTTTTGGAGCTTGCCGTGTTTCCCAACCTCCGCCCTCATTCCCTCTGCACCAAGTTCTTGAGATTAAAGAAAAAACAGCAGGTTTTTTTTCTTTCTCCTGAGTTCTTCTGTGAGATTGAGTTTGCAAAGGAAAAAAAAAAATGTGAAATGCTCTAGACCTTGCTGCGTGCTGAGTTCCACCGGGTTTTTCAGCATTGTTATGCTAAAACAGAATGAACTAAAGCCCCTCCTGAACCTGCCACAATCAAGCCTGCTTCAAGCTTCGGGGTGTGACTCCTGAGTTTTGGCCTTACATTGCCAAATCTGGAAGTTTAGTCTGCCATTAAAAAACAAACAAACAAAAAGACACAAAAACAAATTTACTCTCATCTCATGCATTACGATGCTTGCTACTTTGTCTTAGCAACAATGAACTATAACAGTTTCAAAGACATTATGGAAAAGAGACATTATATTAATAAAAAAACCTGCATGCTGGACATGTATGGTATAATTATTTTTTTTTCCTTTTTTTCCCTTTTGGCTTGGAAATGGACTTTTGAAGACTTAGCGCATGGCATCCATACTTTTGTTTTTCAGCCTCATGACTTTTTTGAGTTCAGAACAACAACAGAAAAAGTACAACCCCAAAGCCTTCTTCCCTTGAAAGTTTGCTTCTACTCCCGACTGCTTTGAGTTACTATGAACTTCAGCCTCCCATTGTAAATGCACTGAAGGCATTCCTTGTCAAAGATACCAGAATGGGCTACAAATTTACATGGCAAATATTATAGAACATAAATTAAATATTTTCTTTTTAGTAACAATGATGCCTGCTTTGGGGCACTTTAAGTTGTGCAGTTGCCAAAAGCAGTCTAAATTTTTTTCTTTGAGAAGAAAGAAAAAGAAATCTGCCCCAATTATTTTTTTGGTTTGTTTTATTTTATTATTATTATTCTTTTTTTGGCTTTTGGTCATTGTCAAATGTGGAATGCTATGGGTTTCTAGTATATAATTTAATTATAGTTTTTATAATCTGTTAGCCCAGTTAAAATGTATGCTACAGATAAAGGAATGTTATAGATAAATTTGAAAGAGTTAGGTCTGTGTAGCTGTAGATTTTTTTTAAAGGCCGATGCACTAAATTGTTTACTGTTGTGATGTTAAGGGGGGTAGAGTTTGCAAGGGGACTGTTTAAAAAGTAGCTTCTGAAGCATGTGCTCGCAACCTAAATATAAGTTGGGTATGTGTAGTTCTTGCTATACCGTGGACTGTATTGAAAACCAAAGTATTAAAGGGGAAATGCCCCCGTTTATATCTGTAGGGGTATTTTACATTCAAAAAAATGTATGTTTTTTTCCAAAATTAAAGTATTTGGGACTGAATTGCACTAAGATATAACCTGCAAGCATATAATACAAAAAAAAAAAAACGCAAAACTGTTTAGAACGCTAATAAAATTTATGCAGTTATAAAAATGGCATTACTGCACAGTTTTAAAGCAATGCAGATTTTTTACAGTGGTGTTGTGGTGCAGAACTGGATTTTCTGTAACTTAAAAAAAAAATCCACACTTTTAAAGGCAATAACCAGTAAATGTTATTTTCAGGGACTGACATCCTGTCTTTTAAAAAAAAAAAGAAAAGAAAAGAAAGAAAGAAAAGTAAATCTTACCACAATAAATATAAAAAAATCTTTTGTCAGTTACTTTTCTTTTACATATTTTGCTGTGCAAAATTGTTTTATAACTTGAGTTACTAACTAACCACGCGTGATGTTCTACATGCTTCTCTTTCATTTTCAATTCTGGTTATATCAAGAGAAAGAGTAATCTACAATAATAAACTGCTTTTTTTTTGATTCTGTTCCGTTTCTTAGTGTACAGATTAACTGGGCCCTATGTCTTGGATGTATTGTATTGGAGCTTGAATGTGAAGTGCAAAAATGCATCCTCTTTGGTTTCTGAACAGGGGAGTTGCAGGCAGTTATAAGGTGAAGTTATAAGCTATTCTGAGAGTGGAGGAGATTGGCACCATTTAGTCATCAATACTATTTAATAGAGATATGAATGATGACATCTCAATTTTTATTCCCCAAAGTTTTTAGTTCCTCTAAATGAGCTGAGCCATTAAAAAAGGGAGAAAGAGGGAGAGAGAAAGAGGGCGAAAAAAGAGAGACAGATACACACACATACACAGTCTCTCTCACTCTTTCTCTCTCTCTCTTTCTTTCTCTCTCTTTCTTTCTCTCTCTCTCTCTCTCTCTCTCACACACACACACACACACACACACACACAAAGAATGGATCTCACTGGACAGATTTGAGCTTCTGACTCAGGAGTAAATCCAACTAGAGAGATGGGACCAGCAAATCTGACTCACCAGAGGTGCATGAGAACATAGACATTTAATGGTAAAGATAAACAGTTCCTGCCATTTGGCCAAAAGTGATTATTTTTTCTTCTTCCTTTACATGCCCTGATTTTCTTGTTGGTGCGGCCTTGACAAGACTAAATATAAACACTTTGCACAAATCAAAGTTGTTTGATTTCACTTTAACTTTTTTTTTAATTTAAAAGAATTTTTTATTTTTTTTTTTTAAATGAAAGTCAGTTGTTTTAAATGAGAAAAATAAAGCCTACCCTTTCCCCACAGAATGTCTAGTTCATGCCAGGTTTAACTGTTATCTAACTACATTTCACTAGGAATATTCGAAGAGCTGTCTCACCACACAGACAAACTAGGGATTACATGAGTTCCCAAAATATAAATATAAGAAGAAAATAATGCCTTCATGGGGCAAAAGCTATGCTTTGATGTATTACTGTTTGTCCTCAAATCAGACTATAAACGGAATCTAATTGAAAGATAACTTGAAAAAGAAATCTTTTACCTTCGGTTGAATTCCTAAACCCTGACCCACTTAAAACTGACACAAATCCCTGCAACCATGTTACAAATACAGGCCATTTTCTCTTTTGGTAGGCCTCCCTGAAAGTTAATGGAATAGCAGACAAAGCCAACACTGTTTTGAAAATATAACTAAACACAATGACCTTTGTCTCATTTTGTTTTCCATTCTTTTTTCCTTTTAAAAATGAGATAATATTGTAACCCATAGTAAAGTCCAGATTTTTAAGGAAACAGGTAGTTAGTTCTTCAGGCTGATGAATTCTGGACAGTTTCTCATAGGCCTTCCTGGCTCTTTTGAACAGAACACAAGACACTATCTACACTTCCTATACTAACCTGTCTTGATGAACTTGAATGCAAGTCCCCCCAAACACTGAGTTTCTCTAGACAGAAATCTTAATTGCAAAACTTCTCAAATATGCTGTAAATTAGCCGTCCTCAGCTTTAGAGGATTTTATTTCTCTGCTTACAGCCAGAAAATACACACATACCACCCCTCTGGAGAGGAGGAAATCGGCATGGCACTTGTACCAAAAACTCAATGCCAGAAGGGAGATCCTAGGCAGATATATTCTCAGAATAAGAGTGCCATTCGTCATACGATGGCTGCAATTATTTATCAAAAAGTGTGACCTGAGTTGGGGAGAAACTTAATTACATAATAATTCAAATGATTAAGCCTCTTGATAGGCTTCTATAAGGCAGTTCAATATTAGAAGCCAGTTTGGGCCCCAGACATTAGGAAATAAAGCAGCAGCAGCAGCAGCAGAGTGAAAATGAAGCCGAGGCACTGGATTGAAAAAAAGAGTTAACCTCCACTGGAAAACACTTTCAGGCATGCTGAAACTTTGGAAGGGAATAGTAAACAGAACTAAACAAAAAAAAAAAAAAAAAAAAACGAACTCTATCCCGCCCCAATGCGCTTTATCACAGAGAGATTCCTAAGTTGAAAAACAAAGCAGGAGGAAAGAAACAGAAAGGAATCACATAAGAAAGTCTAGCTTTCCCTTTTACACTGCCTTTGGAACTTTGTCTAAATAGTGTTAAAATTCCTTTCATTCCAATAACGGAACAGCCCCACTGGCAAGCTGCAGTCATCAGTGGGCTATGCCACATTGGGAAGCCCCGCGGCACGTGCCCAGTGTGCTCATGAGATGCACATAAGATGTATGTAAGCCGTACATTAAAATGGAATTTGCAGGTTTGGAGAATGATTTCCACTTCGTGCCCTTTCTAAAGAAAAATTACCGGTGTTAGAGAAGAAGGCTAATGAATCTGTAACCACCACACTAAACAATTAACTCTCCTGCTTGTCCAAAGGGCTCATAGACCTACAGGAAAGGGCCCCAGCGCTTATCTGCCTACCAGGCATTCAACCAAACCGGCGTAATAGTTTCTAACATATAATAATAGTTTCAAAAGCATACTGGAATTAGAATCTCTGGAACGTGTGTGTGTGTGTGTGTGTGTGTGTGTGTGTGTTTGTGTGTGTGTGTGTTTGTGTGTGTGTGTGTGTGTGTTATACAGATATATCTATAAAGAAAACTTTCC